CGGGGGCTGGGGGCTGGCGGCGCGGGGCCCCGGCGCTCCCCCACCCCGCCTCCCCGCCCCCGCCGCCTCCAGTGCCGCTCTGAGGCGCACCTGGGACCCGGGCCCCTCCGCCGCCAGTGCGTGCTGCGCGAACCCACCGCGCCGGGGCCAGGGGCCGGCCCCTCCATATCAGCGCGTTCGGTATCCGGGGGCGGCGTCCGGGCCCGCGCCCTCCGCCGCCCCCTAGACGGGTTCGTGCCTTTCCCCTCACCCTCTCGCCCCACATCCCCATCCCGGCTCCCAGAGCCCGGGCAGCCCGGAATCCGGGCAGGTGCTAGGCGCCTGGGAGCCTCAGGCCACCCGCCTGCGGTGAAAGGAGGCGAGTCCCTATTTGCAAATCCAGCTTAGTCTTGACGAGGGCCACGCTGGGGGCGCTGGCCGTTTGGCAGCGTAGAAGTAGGTAGGGCGAACGTGGGGGGCCGTGGCCAAGGTATGGGTTCAAGGGTAGAAACTGGGTTCTCCCCCGGCCCAGGCACATTTCCTCATTGGATTTTTAAGCAAATCTCCTCCCCTCTGTGGTCCTCAGTTTCCTCATCTGTAAAGTGGGAATGATGACTGGACTTCCTTAAGGGTGGTCGTGCGGATGAACCGAAGTGGTGTTGGCAAGGCACATGCCTGGCACTGAGGCATCGATGGAGAGCGTCCGGTTGGGAGACCTGGCACAAGCTCTTTCTCCTCCTTGAGCTTCAGTTTGCTTGGCTGGAAATGGGAGTTGTCCTAATCCCACCCTGCGAATTTTCCGAAGTCTGGTGAGGACCCGAAGCCAGCCACAGAAGGCGCGGGAGCTGGGAGAACAGAGCCCAGGGACAGGAGAAATCCCTCTCCCCTCCCGTTCTGCGCTCTCACCTGGGCTGGGGGCAGGGCAAGAGAGAGTGCCCCGCAGCCCCGGGACAAGGGGGTCCTCGGGTCGAGCCGGGACGGGCTGAGCCATTCCTCTGGGCTGGGGGACGTCTACTCGGTCACTCTCATTTTTCAAATGAAAAAATTGAGACCCGAGAGAGGAAGGCGCCTGCTCGCACCCTGCTCCTGCCGCTGCCCCTCGGGGCGCCTAGGGCCCGAGAGAGTGTTGAGAACAGCAAAGCCAAAAAGCCACGATCTTCAAGCCGGGAAATACCACAATTATGCATTCGCAGCGACGCAGCGACCGAAAGGCTCAGATCTGAAGGCTGAAGGCTCGGACCCTTGGGTGCGGTCAGCTTCGTCTGGGCCTCTACCCCGAGGCCTCTGGCTTTGGTTGGAGCTGGCGCCTTGGTCCTGCGAGCCGAGGCCCCGAGACCCCGCGCACACCACGTCCCATCTCGCTCACTCAGCGGAATGAAGGGCAGAATCTGCGGCCGACTTGCGGATGCAAGCCCTGGCAGGTCACTTCGCTTCTCTGAGCCTCAGTTTCTCCGTATATAAAATGGAAAAGATCGGCCCTACAGAAGGTGTTCTGTGGTTTCCCTGAGAGTTCATGAAACAGTCTCAGTGAGGAGGGAGGAAAGAGAGTTATTGCAGACCCCCCCCACCCCCCCACCCCAAGCCCCTGAGAAACAAGAGTATCTGCAGGAGCTGGCGGGCAGGCGCTACTGCCTCTGAACCGTGAGGGAAGGGCCCTCAGAAAGTGGAAAACAGGAACAGCACCACCTCTGCAGCGCAGTGAAGGGGACTGAGGGGGAGGGCGGGGCTGGGGAACCCCCAGTCAGCTTCTCTAGGGTGGAGCCCACGGGGGTCTCCTGGACACTGTTGAGGAAGACCCAGGCAGTGTAAGCACAAGTCTGGGCTGGGGACCCAGGTCGGGTGGCGGCTGGGCTCTGAGCCTGTTCTCCCCTGCCCCCTCCACCTGGATCCCCTCTCCCAGAGGTTCCACTATCACTGGTTGGGAGCCCTTGGGTTGACCCTCCAGGCTTCATTGCACCCACCCCTCACAGCCCCAGGTTCCAGTTCAACATGTGGGGAATCACAGCCCCTCACCCACCTACCCAGGGAAGCAAACACAGACCTGGCCCAGCCACAGAACCAGGACTGACAGATGGATACTGGAGACAGATGCATGAATCTACATAGAGACTCAGAGACATCCATGGAGACAGCACAGACTCTCAGGGAGACCCAGAGACCTAAAGACGGACCCAGGGACCACAGACATACTCACAGACTACGAGGCTTGGGCCAACACAGTCCTGTGGACACCCGGGCACCCATAGACAGCAGGACACTCACAGACCCCTGTAGGGCCTGTCCCCATAGGCCTAGCTCCTCCCATCAGCCAACCAGGGGAAAAGAGGCGGAAGCATGGTGGGAGGACAGGTCTGGGGAGATCCCTGGCCCCTTCCCTGCCCAGAGTAGCGGACACCAGTCACTCAGCAGAGCAGGCAGTGGCCGGCCCAGGCCGCAGGGAGGCACTGAGGAGGGAGGCTGGCCATTAGAGGCCTGGGCCCAGGCCTTCACTTACGGAGCGGAAGGCGAGCTCTCACGCTGGATGAGGGTGGACACTGGGCACCAGGGGTCCTAGCGGAAGCTCCAGCAGCCCAGGTGGGGCAGTGGCGACCGTGGGCACACGGGAGCTCCTTCACGCCACGGCTGGCGGCAGGCGGACAGTAGGCTGGCCCTGTCCGTCCGTCCTCCTCCTCCTCCCCGCCCTGGGTGGGGGGGCCACCGGAGGCCCAATTGGTCTCTGCCCCCACGTGACTCTGCAGGCCTCTCTCCTTCTTTGTTGGTGTTTCTCTTCATTTAGGTCTATTTTTTTTCTTCTCCTAAAAGAAAAAAAAAAAATACCCCTATCTATCTCGGGGCTGCGGATGGGGGCGGAGGCCAAGGCACTCAAGGAGGCCTTGGCCAGCTGGCTGTTCCAGGCTGCTGTGGCAGCCCAGAGGCAGGGACCCCACGTAGGCGGGTAGGCAGCCCCGCTTGTTAGCGACTGGGTGGGAGTGGGGCCTGATTTATGGGCAGCTCCCCCACCCAGCCTGCAGCCCGGCCTCTCTCCCTTTGAATGGCTACCTCCCTGGGGCCTGGCCCAGTGAGCGGGGTCCGGCCTGTCCCAGACATGGAGTCAGGTCGGGCTGGCGTGGAGGCAGGGGCATGGATGACTTGACCAGGTGGCCCTGCAGCTTTGGCTTGGTCTTTTTACTCTTCCAGAAGGTGAAGAAAGGAAGAGGGGGACAGAAGGCAAGCAGGTGAGCTGAATAAACACCGCCCCATGTGTGTATTCCACGTTGGCTTCTCTGAACGTCACCATCCACCGAGGGCTGCTGATGCAGCTGGGAAAGTTGAGGCTGGGCTTAGACTACCTCCAGAGCCAGGTGGTTGGTTACAGTGGCCCCAGGGTAGGCCAAGTGGGTAGCTAGACCAGGAAATTTAGGGCAGGGCAGAGGGAAGGGGTTTTTTTCTAGAAGGCCAGGCCTCCCCATGCAGCTGAGGGTGTCCCTATCCAATCTCCAGGCCCACACACGTCCTGGTCTCGGAGGGCCCAATTGCTCTGCTCTGCACCCCTCCCATGCATGACTCATTCTTTTGTGCATTCCTTCATTCATCTCATAGTCACTGAGGGCACACTAGGTGCCAGACACTGGTCCAGGCACTGGAGGAAAGGGAAGAAAAGGAAAGAAGTCTCTGTCCTCAGAGGATTTACCTCCCAGCCTCTTGTCCTAGGTGGTGGGGAGGGGCACAGGGGGACCATGGGAGAATCCACACACAACTGTGGAGAATCCACACACAACTCCTTTCATTTGAGGAAATAGGCAAATCACATAGAACACCTCACTTATCTGGCTTGGGATGAGAGGGATTTTTCTGTATAACTAAAGCCAACTATATTTAAAACCTAATGTGTCTTCCTCATTGTGCCACTTAAAACATCTTTTCCCAGTTTTATTGAGAAATAATTAACATACGTCACTGTATATGTTTAAGGCATATAGCATGACGATTTGATTTCCATATATTGTGAAATGATAAACGCGATGGGTGAGACTTTTTTTTATTGTGAAAATACACACGAGACAATACGTTTTCTGACAGTCATGACTGACTGATTCTACTGACTCAATGTATTCTAATTCTACCTATGACATAGTTTGCAACTCATTCCCCATCGTGCATGGCCTCATAATTATGTCTTTTTTACCCACAGAAGTTCTTACAGGATACACTTCTCTCGCATAAGACTGAATCTAACTAGTCTCCCCATTTTAATATAATGATTTTGTTTCTGGATTAATACCACTCATCCTCTGCATTTAAAAAAGAAGTATTCCAGCAAATACCTTATATCACCAATATATCATATACGTGTAACAAAACTGAACAACAAACAATCATGGTCGTTTGCACCTCTTTTGATCGGATACTTTGTGAAGTTTTGGGGATGAAGTTAAAAAATTTTTTTTAATTTTTACAAATCATGGATATATTGAGTCAGAAATTCTAAAACTACTTGACAAAGTATCCCATCAGAAGAGGTGCAAAGGTGATTTCCCCACCTTCTTAAATAGGACAAACAGGGTCTTTCAACATCACAGCACCAAGGAAAGAACCAGCCTGGCTTTGCCAGTCTCCTCATAAGGCCTTGCGTCTGGAGAAGAATTGCTGAGGCGCTAGTGGCAGAGACTCTATATTAAATCCCAATTCTTCCGTGTTCTAGCTGTGTGACCTGGGACCAGTCACTTCCTCTCCCTGGGTCTCACATCCTCTCCATAAAATGAGGACAAAATGAGACAACACATGTAACATACTCAGTGGCTGCCTGACATGTTGTATGTGCTCAGTAAATGTTGGCAAAACACAAACCGACCAACCAAAGGACTGGCAGGTCTGTCCTTAAGGGCCCTTTCTGTGTCGAGTCTGAGATTGCAACATCATCCTGAACACTGTTTGCCCTTCTGTGATAGAATGACTCACCCCAGCCTGGGGAACCCTCAAGGAAAGGCTCAGGGCTGATTTATTTCTGAGTCCACAGCAGCCATCACAGAGCCAGCATCAGTGAGTGGCTATTGGATGACTGCTTGCCGCTGTACCCACATGCTGCCTGTGGGTGTAGCATTCTGTTGCCTGTTCTCCTGTCCTGCCACCTTCTCTATATGCAGTCAGCTGTTACTTTCCACCACTCGGGCTGGGTTTTCCTCACCCCAATCACCCTGGATGTTTACTGACATCCTCTTCCTCTGTGCCGTCCCCTCTGCTCTCACCCTTACTGGATGAGGCATGCTGGGAGTACAAGGCCCTAACGCAAAAGTGCTTCCTATTTGCTTGGTTCCCTATTAACCTTTCCACACCTGTGGTCAGTCACCTCTCTACCATCCTGGGAGGTAGGTAGTATTTTCCCCTCACCTTCCATGAACAATGTTTGAGAGATAAGGAAACTCGGGCTCAAAGAGATGAGGCATCTTCCCAAAGTCACAGAACAAGGGTGTGATGGAATCAGGATTCAAATCTAGGCAGTGGGAGTCCAGAACCTGGGCTTTCAGACAGAGTCCTCTCCACTCTGCTGGGGCCCCTGGGTGGCCTATTTGTCCTTTCCTTCCAGCTCCAGCCCAGGTGGTCCCAGGCCATGAGACCCACCCAGAGGGGAAGGAGAAGGGGTATAGTCCTGAACCAGGCTCCCTCCTCCCTCCCTCCCCAGGCAAACAAAGCCCAGGATCTCCTTCTAAGTGGGGACTTTCCCAAAGTGCCAGGCCTATTTCCTGGAGGTGGAACAAGGAACAAACCAACCAGAGACCCAGAAACTGAAATGGAGAAGAGAAAGAACCATCAGGCTGGGGTTGGGGTACAGTGTAGAAAGACAGAAAAAGAGAGAAGCCATGGAAAGAATGAGGCAGAAAATGAGAGAGAAAAGGGAGACCCACTGACAGCATAACAGATGCAGAGATGGCCAGAGAGAGAGACAGACAGACAGAGAGACAGAGAAGAGAGGAATGGGGGGGTCGAGAAGGAATGAGACAAGAAATGGGAGAGAGAGGAGAGACAGACAGACAGACAGACAGACAAACTGGCTGAAGCAGAGAATGAGAAAAGAGAGGGGCAGGGGCCCTGAGCTGGAAAGAGAGAGAGTGTGGCTATGAAGACCCCTTGCAGGGCAGTGGAGGGGGTGGGGCTGCTGGCAGCAGCAGAGGCAGTTTCCGCTGCACCCCTTATCAGCCTGCTGCCAGATGTTCAGATCCGATGCCAATGTCAGAGAAGTCCATAGTGCCGGGTCAAGGCCGTGGCCGGCGGGAGCCTCAGCTGCAGTGTGGGGAGGGGGGCCGGGGGACGGCAAAGACCTGCTTGCTCTTCTCCCTCTGCCTCATGGCTCTCGGGGCTGGACCACCTGGTGAGGGTGGGAGAGACCAGGTGCCTCTGGGGGCTACTTTTCTAGTCTGAGAGCAAGGACTTGTGGAGGCAGAGTAGGGCTCCTGACAACACGTGGAAATGTAAGCACATGGACATGTGCACATAGGCTCACACACGTTGCATGAGTGTGCAAAGCCACATGGGGACAAATCACAGTCCTGCTGAGCTGCTCCATGACAGCGCCCCTGTGCTGGAGGCCTGCTCTGCATGGTTGGCTTAGAGACCACCCCCGCCCCCAAGCCCCTTACCTGAGCCAGGGCTGCAGCCAGAGCTGGAGAAGTGAGACTCTGTGGCTGGCGGTGTTCCCAGGGCACCCCGCTCTTCTATGAATGGCAACCTGCATGCCCTCAAGGGCTAGGCTGAGGGTCCCGAGACCTTCTAGACTGTGAGGTCTGGTGGAGACCCTCAGGAGGAGATGCAGGAGATGGGTGTGGGGCAGGGCTGGGGCTCCAGCCTTGGGCCCGGGCCTCTCCGCCACGCTCCTGGAGCATGCAGCCGCAGCTGGGGCCCCCTTCCTGGGGTAGTTTATCTTACAGTGCACACGCTTGGCCCTCAAGGGGTGACCCAGCCTTGCTCCCCACATTCCTCTTCAGTCATGCAGCCGGTGGGCCCCCACAGCCCTGAGACAGAGCCTGTACTTGGAGGTGGTCAGGAGCAACCACTCAGACACCCCACTGCCCTCTTGGCCCCAGCCCTTTGCAGCTGTCTCTGCTTCTGTCTCTGCCACAGTCAATCTGTGTCTATCAGTTTTTGCCCCTTTCTCTGGGAATGTCCCAGTTTGTCTCTCCCTAAGGTCCTTGAGTGGGACCAAGTCTGGAGATACCTCTGCTCTTCTTTCTGGCTCAGAGTGGCCAGCCTCAATGGGAATGTACAGGAGAAATCAGGCTGTGGGCAAGGATCCTGGGCAAGTGAAGGCCTTAGACTTGTATTGGGTGAACCGGGACAGCCCAAGCAGCAGAAGTCCAGTCCCCCTCCCACCCACCTGCTAAGAGATAGCCCAGATAATGGACACTGATCAGGGCCTGGAGCTGGTGGGCTCCCCCATGTATTAGCGAAGACTGCGGGGGCGGGGGTGTAAGGGGAGGAAGCTGGGCCTGGAGGTCTCGGCCTGAGAGCCTCCTTCCTGTTTGTAGGGAAGTGACTGCCTCAGAAAGCTGCTTAGGGAAGAGGAGGGAGGCCATGGTGACTTCCGGGAAGCTGGCCAAGGGCCCGAGGCCACCCTCCCTGTGCCCACATGGGGCCTGACGGCCCTGGCTTAAAATAGTGCAGTTCCTCCACTGCTGCTGCCAGAGGCCAGCCCAGAACCCAAAGGACT